TGCAGCAGCAAGAGGTGTTAGCTGGGGTGGCTAGGCAGGATGACTAAGTCCTCTCACGGTGAGGGCGCCCAGGGAATGACTAACGGAGGCAATAACGGTGTTTACAAGACACAGTTTACGTCGCCAGATCCAAAGGCCGGTGCTTTTCCTGTACCGAATACTGGGGACACCCAGCTGTCTTCTGCAACTGGCAGCAGATCTGCCCTGTTGGCATGGGACCTTCCAGCAAGCCCATCCGTTGGATCATCCAGCTTCTCTCAGCAAAGCACTGTAGCTCACAGGGCCTGGCAGAGCCACCACCGCTCGGTGGGGCTGGAGGACCTGCCCCAGCCCGGGCAAACAGGGCTCAGTGCAGAGTGGATTTCACATCTGGAGTGCATTGTAACTGTGTCTTTTGCACTATGAAGGAAGAAAGGAGAGGGGAGGGGAGGGGAGGAGAGGAGAGGAGAGGAGAGGGAGAGGGAGAGGGAGAGGGAGAGGGAGAGAGAGAGGGAAGGGGAGAGGGAAGGGGAGGGGAGAGGGGCAAAAAAGTGAAAAGTGAAAAGGAAAGAAGGCCGGAGGAAGGCAGGAAGGGAGGGAGGGAGGAAGCAAGGAAGGAAGAAAGAAAGAAAAAGAGACAAACCATACTTGGTGCATTTATTCATTTAAAATGAATATTTTTACTTGACTGAGTGGAAACAGAGAGAGAGACTTACAAACCTGTAGGAAGGTGCTTCCTGTATTCATTTGCGAATTTCCTTCACAGGCTAGCTCACGGAGAACTGCCAAAGCCCTTGATTTCAGAGAACATCTGAGCCCCTCGGGAGCAGTATTGTATCCACCACCCATGTGCAAGGGCTGCACAGCTTTCGTGGGGGTGAGCACGTGTGCTAACTACTGTGGCTGTGCAAGTGCAGAGACCTGCGCGCCGCCAGGACCTAAAACCACCGAGCTGGATCCTGCCTGTCCCACAGACTCGGATTTAGGACTAGGGAAAGCCGTGGTTTTTCTCAGGGTTTGGTGCCCTGCCCCGGCATAATCTTCCAGGTGGGACAGATTTCTGTTTAGCCTTGTATGGAGCTAACTCCTACAATAAATGTGGTGAGCTCATTTTAGCCTGTACAAGTTATTTGGTGGTACCCCAGGCCCCAGAATTTGGCACACGTAGCAGCCAAGCAGAGGGCCACCGCTGTCCCTCAACGTTTCAACTGCATTTGAAGAGCGAGGGGCTGTGAAATTAAAGCAGCCCGGAGCAGACTGCGTTGCTCACTGCCATGGCTTGCTGAGAGCTACCAAGCCTTGGCTTCCTACAAGTCCTCACTCAGTCCTATATACCATGACATTTTTGTCCCGAGCTGTAGAGTTATATGCTTCATTTTTTGCCTTTTGCTATATTTAGTACAGAAATGCTCAAACCATTTTTTTTTTTTAAGTTTTTGCAGAAAATGTCAACATTTGAATACTGGGTTTGTTTCAAAATGTTTGAAACAGATATGTTTTTATTAGAAATATATGTATTTATTTCTGAAAGCAGTATTAAATGAGTGGTTACCTGTATGTTATGCATCAGAAGCACAATTTTTCTAAAAAGTACACATTTAATAGCATTTTGATCACACTGAAAACATGGAAAAAGGCACATTTTTTCCCCAGTATTAGCTTTTTTAAAGCCATTTTTTTCCATGGGGAAAAATGTTACGTTATAAAATGAGAATCTAATTTTGCACTAAGCAGTCACTGCACGTAAATTTTAACCACCCCCCCTCAGGGTTTTAAAGTCTCTCTCTTTTCTCTATATTTACATTTAATGGTATAGAGCTAAGTGCGTTCCTCTGCCCGCCCTCACTCTGCAGCCCCTGTGAGACCAGGCTGAATTCACCACCCTTGGATAGCGGTGTCTCTTCTACATCACAGCACATTTCTGCTCAGCAGCCTGTTTCATTTCGGTGAAGGTGGCTTGTGCCTTTTCTTTGATTGCATCCATGTCCATATTCTGGATGTTCTGCAGCTGTCCCAGGATAGAGTCTTTGTCCTCTTCCTCCACCTGATCTTCTGCCACCATCTTCTGAAGGTCTTCTGGCAAACCCACATCGTCTCCAGCCATCTGTATTTGATTCTCATCTACTTCACTCTGATACAAAAAGCAGAAAATAAAAACAGTACATGAGAGTATTTCTGCTATCCCAGAATCTACCGCTGAGTCTTGTCTTTGTTTGCTTGTTTTAGGGAGAACCGAAACATATGCATAGATTTTTCAGTCAAAGTTTTTAGGTGCAACTTGTGAATTCAGGGGCCAAATCAGCCCCCATACAAGTGCTAAGATTTTTCAGACAATGTCAATTATATTTCTCTGAAGGGTTTCAGTAGAGCCAAAACTGAAGCTCTCAGTGTCACCTGCCGCTTTGGAAATCTGCCATACATGTTAACTGTGGCAACATGCTGATACTACGGGAAATCCACTACAAGTTACTGGTATCCACCAAAGTCACGCTGCAATATACTGCCTGGGCTGTCATCTGTTGTGTGATTTGGTCAACGAAGCAATAGCTTTAGAAAAACTGTGTGGCTAACATTCCCCAGTTCATTTGGTGGTGGGTATTTTTAGATAGCAGCACTGAACTGAAGCCTTCCTGAAGCAAGATGCACTAAACATAGGAAAGAATTACTGGAAAAAAGGTCTCCATCTTCACCAAACCTTGTCTAAGCTCTATCTAGGTCTCTGGTTAGCATCTCTGAGTTGTGATGAAGAGCAGGGGCTGCCTGGCACATAATCAGAGCAGTGTTGCAGTGCTGGTAAGTGGGGTAATAGGAGGACTTGGACAACAAAAGAAAGGATGGAGGTTGAGTGTGAGTCTGAGAAAGCAAAAGGAGACAGAAGGAACTGATTAAGCAATTAAAAGGGCTAAAATGCAGTAAGTGCTACACATACTTGCTTCCTGCCTGCTCGCTGAAACATTCTGTCACTGGGGCTATGTCAATTTTTCAAACAATGGCAATTTTGTTCGCATTCTGTGGTGGATTCTGATGGATCCACAGCTCAGAAGAACGGGATATTTTGACACAGTTCACACATCAAAGATAAGCATTAATGCCTCATTACATTTCCAAAATGAAGCATGACAGCAGCAAAGGCCTGATATGAATAAGCAGCAATGCTGTCAGCAGGAGGTGCTTTTGAGAGTGAGAGGGGTCTTGGGTTTCCATGAATGAATGAATGCAAGAATGAACGGAAAGACGTATACGAGCAATGTCTGTGTAGTTTCAGGCCTTAGCAAGGACAGGCAGACTGGGATGCTCGATTGCATAGCCACTATTTCCTCTTACCTATATTTGCACAGCTTTATGTCTGCAATAACTGTACTTCCCTGTAATCTGATTTCTCCCTCTCTCTCATGAAAATACAGAGAGGTGTATCATGATCATTACTACTATGTGGCTAAAATGGGTGAGGACGTCTCTCGACCCCTTTGGGTAAGGGTTGCTGCTATCAGATCTGTGGGAACTAGAAACAATATTCCAGTTGGCAGAAGTATTCTTTATTGATTGTGCAGCAGGAAAAAATGTCTTTAGCTTTTAGCCAGCAAGTGCGGGCTATTGGAGGAGTTGGCCCTTTTGACCTTCTTCCAAGTAGCAGCAGAGGATAATAAAAAAAGACACTGGGTTAATTACTGAAAACGTCCCCCTAAGCAGACAATTGCACATGTTCTGTTCTTCAGAACTAGTCGTAATTTAAGACATCGTCACCGCAGACCACTGTACATTATGGGGAGAGATGCCCACACAGCGCACACAAAGGCCACTTCGGCGATGTGAACAATTGTTGAGCGTGTTCTGGCTACAAAGTCCCCTGTCCTACTGAAGTCTGAGATGTGATGCGCAACACTGGGGGTTCAACGTGTTCTCTGACTGAAGATCGTATTCAGATGCCATCTAAAGCAGCACAGCTCTGCCCAAGCCACCTGCCTCTACCCACTCGGCATTTAGCCTGTCCTTGAATAGACCTAGCATGAGCTTCAGCAGGGTAGGGTTGCTCAACAAGTAGCACATAAGATGTGTATGACCTCTTCTCTTTCTTCTAAAATTTGACAGATCTGGTTCCATTACTTTTATTTGAAATGGAAATGTAGCATTAAGTTTCTGATTTTACATATTCCCTTTCTTTTTTTCAAGTCTGGTGGAAATAAGTTAAAGCTTGCTTTCTCACAAGGAGAAACCAGAAGATTTTCCCACAGCATGTTCCTAAAGTGAGGTTAATGCTGCAAGCGTCCAAGTACGCAGCGAGCCTGCAGCCCCAAGCACTCCCTTCTGGCAGTCAGCACCAGAAACGTGGTGCTGGCAACGCGTCATGTTTGTGATTTCCAGACAGCCGCCTGTGACTGGGGCGTGAGCAGGGTGTGCAGATCCCTGTGGCCCCAGCACGCACACACGTGGGGACTGCTACCCGCCCAAGGCCAGGCATGGCCTTGACACGGACAGGGGCACTGCCCTGCATCAGCACACGCTCAGCCCAGGCTACGGGTTGCATCCGAAGCAGGCAGACCCCATGGACGGGACAGCTGGGGCTGTCCAGTGCAGAAAGCCCCTCTGGACCCTGGCAAACCTGCGCTGGACGGGGCGGCCTCTCTCCTGATGACTTTCATCTCCGTGGTCTCCAGGTCTCTGCAAGTGTTCACCCACCCTTTTAGGATCTCTGAGAACACAGAAGCAACGTCTATTCTAGTAAATTATGTATGCCCGGCACTGGTCTCTTGCCCCAAGGCCAGCTGGCCTGGAACAACCCGCTGCGATGCTATTGAACTCTCTTGCCCCACCAAACAGGGCGGTCCCATCTAGCTGCCTGCTGGGAATGCCTGTCCTCACCCCCAGACTGGCCTTGGGAACTGCTTGGGAGAGCGCCTGGGCCAAAACTGGGTCAGACACTATTCTGACAATTCAGCAGCATAGGCGATAGTGTCCTCATCCCTGATAATACTCTTTGACCCTGATTATTCATCTGATGTCGTCAGACTCGGGTCTATTTTGTTACAGGTGCAGTATAATGCAGTGTTCTTTATACAGAAATGATACACGGGTGTAAGCAGTCTAAACATCTGTTTCTAGGAGGCCTGACTGCAAACAAAAGAGATCAAAGCTCACAGGCTAATCCACAGGGGAGCCAAACTTTTCCAGCATCACTGTGTGATGTGCAGCTTTCCTTACGTCTAACTTACCCTGTCATAAATTTACCTACGCCTATGTGCAGAGATCGTTAGGTAGGTGAATCCAGACCCGACTCTGACTGATCACCTACAATGCACCAGTTACGTACAAAATCAGAGTTCATGTCTTGTCCTGCAAGTGGGACTTTTGGCAGGCGATACAGCAGCCCCATACTGACCTGTGCCACCCAAGGGCTGCAGGTACCTCAGCAGGAGGTATGAGGAGCCCCAGGTCGGAACCACCAGCCTGCTCCCCCACAAACACCCTCTTGTGCCATCCTTACACAGGGATTGCCGTTCGGAGCATAGGGCATGTGTGTGGAGGCTGCTTGATGCCCCAGCTGGCAGGGCCTCATAGGCACCGCCACCTCATTACCCAAACTGGCTTCAGTGACAACTCCCTTACCCCAGAAACCCCGTTTCCGCTCATGCCAGGCTCCCAGCTCTGCCCTAAGCTACATCACAGCCGTGCCCGTGCTGAAGTGGTCCCTGCCGAACCCAGCTTGTTGACCCATCTTCTAGGATGGACCATGCTTTGCCTGCCCTGACCATCACCGGGCTGTCGCGGGACCCTGCTGCCAGCCCCAGCCCTGCCCGCTGCGTTCAGAGCCTGCAGGAGAGGGCACTGCTCGTGCCAGGGTCCCCCATCACCCCAGCCCCAGCCTTCTCAGGGGGCAATCCTAGTCCCGCTGCCTCCTGACATCCACACTGTGACTCCATTTTACCACAGTGGATCCACAGCTGTTTCACTGTGGCCTATTAAGAAAACAGATCAGCAAAAGAATTCTTCAAGCTTAGCAAATACTTGTTTTCAGGTACTTGTCTAAAGCCTGTATGTACTGAAGAGCTTCTCCCAAGAGAAGTTTCCCTTTCTGCCGGGTCACTGTGCAGCCCCTGTGGCACAGCTAGAGCTTACGTCACGGCTGCATACAAGTGAAAAACCCTTTAATTCTGGAATGGCACTATTCAGTAAATCAAGCCTTAACAATATTCCCATCACAGCACAACAGAGCAAAAGCTGTTTGAGATTACACGGCTACGTGTCCCTTTCACAGCGAGCAGCTTTCCTTTTTAATGTTTTTAGCAGCGCTTGTTATTGAAAAGACACCTGATTGCATGCGAATACTCTTCCCCCCTAAACATCAGTGAATGAAGAAGATCCTGCTGTTCAGTAACTGAGACTCTTGTGGAGCAGCGCCCACAGAAGTGCTGTGACGAGGGGAAGGGATCCACCTGCTTGGAGCAGATGGCACAGCCCCTTCCCGAGGTGCTGGAACTCCATATATCACAACACAACCCCCAGCACTCGTGCAGAAGAATGGCACCAACGCGGCAATGCTCTAACAGAGAGTAGTGGCATTGGAGGTGACGTGGTGGGTATACGTGCAGGTCAGTGATGTGAAAGGGGTGGCGAGACCCACGGGGAGAGGTTGCCGTGCTGCAGACGAGGTCTGCGGACAGGCCTGTGGTCAGATGTTCATCTCCTGCATCACAGACACCGTCACCTCAAGACCCTGCGTTTAGACCTTGCATAAATTGACTACTGGATCCCAGTTCAAGAAAAAGGCAGTAAGTGAATAAAGGAGTTTAGCGTGGGGGATTTTAATTAAAATATTTATTTTACAATGTTTTGTATGGTGGTGATGCATTGAATACCCCGAAGATGAAAAAGTTGTCCATAGATCAAATGTCTCATAGCTAAAAACATCGTTCTGACGACAAACCTAAGTTGACAATTCTGTTAATAGGATTAGGTTCATTAAGGAACTGCTTTCTCTTATAAATCTGGCCCAGATAGCATGGAGTATTAGCTTTTGCACTGAAAAGGGGGCCCTCCTTAGTCCTGAATTTCATGCTTTCTTTTACAATGTATGCTAGTGGTTGATACTGGTAATATTCAGAGTTTCCACCCTATACCAGACTACCTAAATTGACTTCCATTTTTCAAAATCATTAATGCATTATCACACATCTGAGAGCATTTTGCTGCCATAATGTTGTATCATAAAGTTGCTATTTTTTCAGTGACATACAGTGTGCATGTAATAATTTCATTTTCTTCCTGATATAACATGTATTTTCGTAAGAGCTGATAAAAAGAAAGAAGACCTTCAACCCAGAAATGTTATATAGGTAGACACAAATGCACAAAAGCATATCCTGCAAAATTTACTTGCAACCACCGCAAATCAGCAAAGCTAAGTATATATTTAATACCTTCTTTGCTGGCTTAGAGCCTGCCTTGGAGGCAAGTCTTCTGTTATTACTGAAATTTGCCCCAAAGAGCACTCAGTGCATACCAAAGTCAAGATCCTGCTAGGGATGGGGCAGATCACCACTGCAGGCTCTCGGATGCTGTGGGGTGGCACTGTGGCTGTCGGGCATCAGCCAAGGGTGACTGCGGAGACCCGAACACCATCTCAGAACGGAAAAAGACTATGGGTGGGTGGCTTTCAAAATCAGACAAACACCCAGCTCCACCGACTTTTACTTGGGAGCTGGGCACGTAAGTGTGTCCTGAAGCCACTGAAACTAGCCCTTCTTGGGACTCAAAGCCAGGGCCTTGGCAGACTGTGGTGGGGCCGTGGGGAAATGCTGTTCAGTAGCTGTCTCAGCACATGCCTCCACAAGGAAAACAAAGCCTAATGATATTTTACTACTCAGCTACTAATTAAAATGCTTGTGTTTAGAGATTTAGGCCTACAATCCAATCAACCACTCAAAATCTTCTACTTTGTTTTTTTTTGCATAATTAATCTTTCTGTAATTAAACTCGCCCTCAGGACATGTTTACCTTTTTCTTGTCACTATGTTGAGCACTCATGGCCCAGAAGAAACGGTATATTGCAACTGATGAATACAGAAGAGCACAGTGGATAATCTGCCCTTGCTCCTTCTGCCCCTGTGTGTGATACCTGTCATGCACAGAGCTAACATTTATCCGTATTTCTCCAGGCATATCCCTTTCTCTTCCAGATAGATATTCTGTCAGCAGGGACTCTGAAGACGTGCTGTGTTTCTCTAGTCTTTTTGATGCCTGGCTGTAGCTGAGTGACTGCCAATTCCCTAACACCTGTACTGCAGGAGCAGATACCGGCCGCACGCACAAGGAGTGGCGGCTGCACATGCCGCAGGTCCAGCGATGGCCCCGGCAGCACACACAGCCTGCCCGCTGCACTGGGACTCAGCGCCCTCCGTCCAGCCCAGATGAGCAGGGCGCGCTGCAGACGATCTGCGCAGCGGGCAGGAGATAGGCAGGCTTGGTAATGCCTCAAACTTTAGACTACACAGCGGCAGGCACGCACGCTTCTACAGAGGGACCTGCAGCCGTAACAGCAGCACCTCTCGGGAACGAAAAAGAGACCACAGTTCGAGTACGAGTAAGTGTGTGACCTTGATAACCACCTGCAAAAGACTCACCAGCTAAGAATACTTCCATTTAAAGGGGTTATTGGAATAAGAAGCTATAGGCGTAGCAATACACCTTCATTTTTCATTGATCCTGGGGTGCATCAAGAAGAGTGTGGCCAGCAGGTTGAGGGAGGTTCTCCTTCCCCTCTACACTGCCCTAGTGAGGCCTCCTCTGGAGTACTGTGTCCAGTTCTGGGCTCCCCACTTCAAGAAAGATGAAGAGCTACTGGAAAGAGTCCAGC